AGCATTGGGTTAGCTGCAATAGTGTAAACCTTTTGTAATGGCCACTTTCCTACTGACTTTCTCACCCTGAGATGAGGAACTCAATCCTGGTATAGAATGCAATTGCTGAGCACTGTTGTGTTGTTTTGTTATAGGGCAGCTTCCTCACAAGAAATTAACTCAGAAAACTTAGTGTTGCTGCTTGCAAAAAGGAGAGGGCAAACAAATAGACATCCTGCCTCTCTGGGCGTATTTCAGGCAGAAAAAAATGTGTTTGGAACTCAGTGAGAGGAAACGGGGCTTGTCTGTAAGCTAGTCTTGTCGTCATTCTGTGGCTTTGCATTGTAATTTATGTTTCTCACCACTGGACATCTTGAGATGTGTTAAAACAATTTTTTACGAACTAAGTTAACCCTTGTTTGGTCCTGTTTATGAGCATGCAGAGCAAAAGGCCTTATTCTGTGTAGTTCTTCTCCCGATCACCTAATTGAAGTTCTTTGGGATGGCTTGTGACACAGTCAGCGACCAAAGCGTTTGTTGTGCATGGCAGCTTGTGACAGGGCGTTGTCTATAAGCAGAGTGAACACACTGCTGGACTCAGCTCAGGCCCTGCAAGGCTGCGTGGCCCTCAGCCGGTTCCTGTAGTCTGTCATTGCCTTCATTTCTCTAACAGGAGGTCATGATTACAAATAATGACCTCTTAGGCTGGGGAAGAGGAAATGAATGAATGAAGTCTTCAGAGAGCTGGGCACACGGACCATCAAGTCAACAGTTGTCTTTCTGTGGTATATAGAGACAGGGCCTGGCCTGGGAGCTCCCACCTAGCAGGGCGCACTTGGACATTGTAAAAAAGAAATCACTATCAGAACTCTAGCCCGGATGTCTCCCTAAAACAAACCACTTCCTTTGCCATCATGAATTTCGTGGGAGAGAGTAAATATTTACAGAAAGCTGGAAAGTAGCAAGGCTCCATATAAGGGTAAGAATGGAGGCGTCTTGTGCCAGAGGCCCCGTTCCCGGAAGGTCTATCTCTGACAGCAAATATTTCAGTGACACCAAAGCAGATTGTCGGTTTTGGGGTCATGAGAAATGAGTATTTTTAAGTCCCTTCCCTCTAGTAAATATTGTGGCTCCACCTTCAGAAAATGAAAGGCTGTGCTCTTACACTAAAAAAGGATTGAAAGAGAAAAAAAAGAAAGAAAGAAAAGCAGCCTGCAGTACCCCAGGGAGTGACAGCCTGTCTTTCCTCTGAGTTCTGTGGCTCATGAACCCTGGGATGTTACTGGATGCCACCCTTGACCTCTGAGTTGAACGGGATAGTTCATAAGAGTTCTTACAGCTCAGACATCACATGGCTTCAAAAGATAAAACAGAAGTACTGCATCAGCAGGCAGCAGAAACTACTAAAAACCTAGGTAAGAAAGGAACTTTCTGCAGAAAGATCCCTGAGGAGGAAAGGGCGAGTCACACAATCAAAGGAAAAGCTGGAGAACCTGGCTCAGACCCGGATGCTTGGGGAGGGCTGGGGGCTTCTAGAGCCGGGTGGGAGAGAAGATATAAACAGAATCAAATCCACTCCACTACTAGAGTGAATCAACTCCCTTTGGCTTCCTTCCACCTTCGTGCACCAGAGTTGGAGGGAGAGTAGAACTGGTCTAGCCCTTCTCACCTTGCTGCCACCTGTGTGGTAGGCAAGAAAGGTTAGTTTACAGTCCACCAAGATGTTGTTCAACAGGTAATGGAGCATTCCCTAAAAGGCCAACAGAAGGGGTCATGAAAGAAAGGACTTCAATGCTGCACATCTCTTCACTGCAAACACAGTGGTGGGGTTGCCTGGTTACAGGAGCAGTGCAAAGCCTGCGGCCACCTCAACAATTCCCCTCCAACCTCTACATAAGGTCATCAGTCACGCAGCTGCCTCACACTCCCCAAACAGAGCCTTGATGGTCCCTGCTCTCAGGCGTGCCCTCCATGACCCTGCTCTCTGGCATGCCCTCCTTGTGTCCTACTCTTGGGCGTGCCCTCCTTGTGCCCTGTTCTTGGGTGTGCCCTCCTTGTGCCCTGTTCTCGGGCGTGTCCTCTGTGAACCCTGCTCTCTGGCGTGCCCTCTGTGAGCCCTCCGTGTGCCCTGCTTTCAGGCATGTCCTCCTTGTGCCCTGCTCTCGGGTGTGCCCTCCATGTGCCCTGTTCTTGGGTGTGCCCTCTGTGTGCCCTGCTCTCAGGCGTGCCCTCTCTGTGCCCTGTTCTTGGGTGTGCCCTTCTTGTGCCCTGCTCTTGGGCGTGCCCTTTGTGTGCCCTGTTCTTGGGCGTGCCCTCCATGTGCCCTGCTCTCAGGTGTGCCCTCCTTGTGCCCTGTTCTCGGGTGTGCCCTCTGTGACCCTGCTCTCTGGCATGCCCTCTGTGAGCCCTCGGTGTGCCCTGCTCTCGGGTGTGTCCTCCACGTGCCCTGCTCTCGGGCACGCCTTCCATGTGCCATGCTCTTGGGCGTGCCCATCGGGCGCCCTGTTCTCAGGACATGGACTGGCACCCATATTGGATGCTGACACTTTAAGGGGAAGGATTAGCCAATTAAGCTGGGTCCAACCTGCATTTTAATTAGATATTTCTATGAACCTTTTTTAGTGAGCTATGTTAGTCCTGAGGTCTTAGGCAACCTAATGAGTTTCTCTTGGGTTCTGATTTCCCATGGAGGGTGACACCTGTGTCATAGAATTATTGTGAGGAGAACACATGGGACAAGTGCCTGGTGTGAGGTACAGATTCAGTAACTAGTTCTTCGTTCAAGAAGAATCTGCTATGAGGCCCAGCATGATGGCTCAGTGGCTAAAATCCTCGCCTTGCATGTGCCAGGATCCCATATAGGCGCTGGTTCATGTCCCGGGTGCTCTACTTTCCATCCAGCTCCCTGCTTGTGACCTGGGAAAGCAGTCGAGGACAGCCCAAAGCCTTGGGACCTTGCACCTGCATGGGAGACCTAGAGGAGACTCCTGACTCCCGGCTTTGGATCGTGTCAGCTTTGACCATTGTGGCCATTTGGGGAGTGAACCAGCAATGCGATCTTTCTGTCTGTATCTCCTTCTCTCTGCAAATCTGCCTTTCCAACAAAAATCTTAAAAAAAAAAAACAAAAACAAAAAACCTTCTGTGAACCAAACATTAAGTTACCATGGAGAGCACAGCAAGGCACATTCCTACTCTCCTGCAGGTGCCAGGGTAGAGATGGGAGCCAGTCATTGATTAACAACCATGAAGTCACGCAGGGATAAGGCCATGAGGTGGAGAAAACATGTGTGAGAGGTTTGATGATTCTGAGAGATCAAAGAAATTTCCATCAAGACCCTGCCCAAAAGCTGTTGTCTCCAGAATCTTGCCTGGTCCCCACCCCCACCCCAATTAGAAATGATTCCATTGGTTTAGGGATTCTCAGCAGGAAGTGCGCATCCTGTGAATGACACTTCTCTTGGCCTATGGCATCCAGTATTTTAGCAAGCGCAACATATATCCTGCCGTATGAGCAGAGGGGGCCATCTTACCTCTTCATGTGCTTCACAGTGTCTGTCAAACTCTATTGTTTCAACAAATAAGTGAAATTAGCTTCCTGAAAGCTGTCACAACTTACCAGACCTTGCAGCTTAATTTATGCTTATTGTAAGTCAAGTTCCCATTGGTTTCCAAGTCATTTGTCAGAATACAGTAGGTGATGTGTAGGAAAACAATAATTTGGCTTCCCAGAGATTGTATAATATCCATACTTCATAGAGTGTAAACCCTAAACTGCTAAAATCCTAAGACCTCAACCTGACTCAGCTATTCATTAGGGATACCCAGATAAGAAAAAGTGACACTGTTAGAATTCTATTTGCCAAATCCTCAGTCCCCTGCATTTTGCAATTAAAATTTCAGTCTCTGATCCAGAAAGAAAAAAAAATGGAGAAAGAAAATCCTGTGTACTGGAGCATTTGTTCCTCCATTTCTATCAATTTTGTCATGTGGGGAAGGAAGAATGTCTTTCCTTCTTTTCTTTCTTTCTTCCTTCCTTCCTTCCTTCCTTCCTTCCTTTCTTTCTTTTCATCTTATTTGACAAAGAGAGAGAGAGGGTCTTCCGTGCACTGTTTCACCCCCCAAATCTGGGAGCTCAGAACTCAACCTGGGTCTCCCGCATGGGCGGCTAGGACCCGTACCTGAAGCATTAATTACCTGCTGCTTCCCAGGATGAGTAGCAGCAGGAAGCAGAAATCGAAAGCAAAGCCAGGACTCAAAACCAGGCACTCCAGGAGTGGATGAGAGAGCCCCAGGCAACATCTTCAGGTGGCACTGCATGCCTGCTCACTCTGCAACTCTTCTAAATTCATGGCTGAAGCCCCCACAGCAAGATTTGCCAGAGAATTGCATACTCCCTTATTTACATAGTCTACGCCTCACTAAGGAAATGGAGACCTGAACAAGCAAGCCTGGGTGTTTGTGGCAGGTGGGAGAAAGAAAGGAGAAATGCGATTAGGCAAGAAGGGTATGTTGTCATGGTAAAGACGGGAAAACCAAGCAAGTCCTGCTTGCTCAGATTCTTCCCAGGGTCCCCAAGTCTTTGGCAATAAGGACACTCCTCTCCTCCAGGCTTAGGGAAGGCACCTGCGACCCAAGGGTTCCTGAAGCTGCCTCGCAGGAAGATCAAAAAAGGTTGTTACCTGTTTCAGGGGAGAAATGGCAGGGAGGAGCTGAGTGACCTCCCCCCCCCCCCCCGCCCCACCTTCTGCCACCTCTTCACTTTGCTTCAGCTCACAGTGTTCCATATGGGCCTGGCATTGGGGCCGGCCATTAAGAAGCCCACATCCCCTATTAGAGTGTCTCCATTTGACAGCAGGTTCTGGCTCCTGACTCCAGCTTCCGGCTAATGCACACCCTGGGAGGCAGCCAGGATGGCTCAAGTAGTTGGACTCCTTCCCCAGCTCCCTACCCTCAGTCAGAGAGACCTGGATTGAGTTCCTGGCTTCTGGTTTTAGCCAACATCAGCCCCAATTTTTGCAAACATTAGGGAAATGTACCATTAGATGAAAGATACCTCTTTTTCTCTCAAGTAAATAAACAAAAATGTTAAAGATTTTTTCAAATGGGTTATATTTTGAGGGAGCATGTTTTGAACTTTGCCCTTTGACAAAGCCTCATCCTACAGGTAAACTCTCGAGATCTACTTGGTAACAATGTTAGTTCCACCTTAACTCTGGGAAGGTATTTTCACATTTTTTCACATTAATATCTATCCTGTTATCCAGATGTGCTTGTAATTAATAGCCATATTTACTTTTGGCATCAATGATGGTGATAACAAATACAAAAACCAGTTGACTTTGAAGAAGTCTTTTGCTATTAGACTTAAATATTTTAATTATTTTTATTTCAGCATGTTTGATTTTTTTAAAAAAACATCTTGGCACTCAGAGAAGGAGAGATTTACACAAGCAAACAAAAAATCAACAGATAACACAGACCTTCATCCATAATTTATGAAAATAGAAACAATCCATCTGTATAGGAAAAATAAGTCATCACGTGATCCAGTGAGGCAACAGGTTTCCACGCTTGACTCTGTGGTTGGTTGAAAACCAGGGGTCTTTTCTAAGCTGTTCAGTGATGGGTCAAGACCAGAGGATGCGTCCCTTGCTGTTTCCCTGTGTTTCATCAGCTTGTTTTCCATGACTCACAGCAGCTTCTTGAAAAAAAAAATTCTCCTTCCCTCAATCTCCTGGGGCAAATAAACTCTCTGCACTTGCTGTCATTCACCAACCGGCGTTCCTGCTGCCTGCCTTGCGCCTCCTCGGCTGGACTGGAACATTTACCTGTGTGCTTAGCCCAAAGGAAAACTAAGACTCTTCTCCACCAGGGTTTAGTCCAGAACATCTGAGAGGATTCTGAAGATTTAGAAAACAAATACAATTCACACAAAAATTTTGCAAAAGATTACCTGAACTATAATTGGCATAAAGCAACTTTAGAACCAAGTTTAGAATGTTAAAACTATGTCATGGGGCCAACACTGTGGTGTGGTAGGTTAAGCTACTGTCAACCCACAACAATACTGGCATCCCATACGGGTGCTGGTTCAAGTCATGGCTGCTTCACTTTTTTTTTTTAACACTTATTTATTTTTATTTGAATGGAAGATTTACAGAGACAAGGAGAGACAGAAAGATCTTCCATTGGCTGATCACTCCCTAAATGGCCACAACAGCTTGGGGTTGAGCCAATCTGAAGCCAGGAGCTAGGAGGGAGCTTCCTCTGGATCTCCCCATGGGTACAGGAGCCCAAGGCTTCAGGCCATGCTCCACTGTTTTCCCAGGCCACAAGTAGAGAGCTAGATCAGAACTGGAACAGCTGGGACATGAACTGGCACCCATATGGGATACCAGTGCTTGCTGCCATGCCAATCCCAGCTGCTTTACTTTCAATCTGACTCCCTGCTGATAGGCCTAGGAAAGCAGCGAGATGACCCAAGTGTTTGGACCCCTGCATGTACATATGGGAGATCCAAAAGAAGTTCCTGGCTCTTGACTTCAATCTGGCCCTGTTTATTATGGTCATTTGGAGAGTGAACTAGCAGATGGAAGATACAGATATCTCTCTCTTTCTCCCTTTCTGTATATCTGCCTCTCAACAACAACAAATAATAATAAATAAATATTTTTTTTAAAAAAGCCTCTATGCCATATAAAATAAGCTGTTATATGAAAACACCAAGAACCTGCCCCCTCCCCCAAGTCACTGGCACAGGGCCATTTGCCATGCTACGTCATGCCTTGGCATTCCCAGTAGAACCCTAAGAAGACAGTGTGGTTAGAGAAAAACTGCCCTGCCTGGAAGCTAGGAAACCACAGGAGGCCTGGCTGATGTTCTGCATCTGCTCAATGAAAGCATGGTTGCTCATGCAAATTTCTCTCAACTATCACATTCCATGATCCTAGGAAAGAGACACAGAAGTCTACATTCTAGCTCCCTCAACAGATGCTTAAATGTGAGGCATCATGCCTTCCACCGAGGGATCCCTCTCATTATGCCCATCTGGTCCCCCAGGAATACCTTTATCTTGTTATTTGTCCCTCTTTATTGGTCTTGGGTTCTGCTGCTCTGATTCCTCTATGGAGCACACTGCTATTTGTATCAGTGCGTAAAAGAGCTCTAAATACGCAACATGTGTCCAAGAAGCATCTGATGGGTGCCCAATGTAGAACGTCTCACTGGTCAAGCTGCACCACCCAAGAATATCAGACATGATAACCAGCAATATTTCCTGAACACATTTTTGTGACTCTGTGCTGTATTCTTTCTGGAAATTTCTGAGCCAATTGCACACTCTACTTGCCCTAAGACCCCAGCAAGAAAACCCAACTCCCTTCTATCATGCACTCAGAGGTAGATCTTGGTTGCTACTAAGTCTCAGTATGGTGTGTTAAGCTATCTCTGTGCTGGTTCTTTGGGTTCCCTGCACAGATCAGCTCTCTACTGTTTCTAGCCTACTTGGATCTGGGAGCCAAATTCCATGTGGGCTCTATTGCCCTCTGGCTGTGGTTGATCTTGGCCATTAGGGAATCCTAGCTGGTTAGAGAAAGGGCAGACAGTTGGGATGTTCATCTCCCCTTTCAGGGCAGCCACATGTTCCTTCATTCACCTTACCATTCTGCATGGGTGTTGGGCGGGGAGTGGGGAGTCAGCCTGAGTCACTGTTTCATTGGTTCCTTTCCTTGTAGTCTGTGAACAATGGCAATGTCTCAGCATTGCTACATCCAGAGTGCCGCACTCTCCTCTGGGGTTTCCATATCCTGCCTGCACAGGCCCTTGAATAAATGCTTCTCCTATGCTTCAGTTGGAGAGGTGAGTGTTCAGTACAGCGGTTAAGTTGCCACTTGGGACACTGCATACCCTATCGGAGTGGCTGGTTTGAGTCCCAGCTATACCACTTTTTTTTTGTTTGCTTTGTTTTGAGATTTATTTAAAAGGTTGATTGCCCTGTTTTCGTCCTCTTCCCTGTTAGTCATGTTACCCTGGGCGAGGGTTATGCTGAAGGTACTTTAACATGACACTTTTTTTAAAATGAATTCTTGGTGGAATGAATGAAAATCATTTTTAAGACATTTCTGCCACTGTTTCAGATTGAAATGCATGGAAATAATGTGCACTAACCTAGGTGATTGAATGTTTAAAAAATTAGAGAAGTTGTTTATTTCAGTAATTTGGAGTGACTCAGTTCTGTTTACAGATCTGATTCTCCATTTGTCATGTTCTGACTAAGTTATACATCAGTCCCAGTGTAACAAATGAAGAGGTTAGAAAACAATTATTATATTTCCTTTTTAAAGATTTATTTATTTCTATTTGAAAAGCAGAGTTACAGAGAGGATAAACAGAGAGAGAGAGAGAATCTTCCATCCATTGGTCTACTCCCCAAGTGGCTGCGAAGGCCGGAGCTGAGCCTGTGTGGAGACAGGAGCTTCCTCCAGGTCTCCCATGTGGGTGCAGGGGTCCAAGAACTTAAGTCATCCTCTGCTGCATATCCAGGCCAAAAGCAGCGAGCTGGGTTGAAAATATAGCAGCCGAGACTCAAACCTGCAGCCATGTAGGATGTTGAAGCTTTAGCTTACTGTGCCATGGCACCTGCACCAAGAATGATTATATTTCATCTCATCTGATTCATACATCAAGCTCCTCACATTCTCCTCCCTTACGCAGAAAGCAGTGTAGTTTTTTGAGGGGTTTGGGTCATATAGCCCAGACATGAAGTTGCCCAGGAGCCCGTGGATCTGACTCCCAACTTTAGCTCCTGATTGCAGGGTCCCGTCCTTCTAGAACCTGGCAAATAGTGGTGCCGGTGCCAGTCACTGGGTTCCTGCCAACTGCATGGGAAACCTGGATTGGCATCTCAGCTTCTGGCTCCCAGGGAGTGGAACAGTTGGTGAGAGCTTTCAGTTACAATCTGTCTCTCTCTCTCTCTCTCTCTCTCAAGCCATCTAATAAGATATTATCAACACATTAAAGAGAAATACAGTTTGGTATAAACTGTACCTCCTTAAATCTACACATGTTACACATGTTTGCAAGGAGTGAAGTCAGATAGTCAGAAAAGCTGAGTCACCACTCACCACGTACAATTAAGGTCTTCCAGATGTGCTGTGGTAGCAACTTCCAGCTCTGGTATTGAGGGAAGTATTTCCTTGACCTGAACCGAGCAATGGCCTTGCATGGTCTCTGTGGTAAAAGGAGAGCTGTGTTAGTGTTTACTCAACAGCAATGCAGACAGAAGTACAGGACGGCCTAATGTAGTCAGCCTAGTGTGAACCATGCCCATAGTGAAAGGATTTGGACAATTGCTTTTTTATTTCCAAAAATTTATTATTTTTATTTGAAATGCAGATTTTACACAATGAGATGGAGAGACAAAAAGAGGTCTTCTGTCCACTGGTTCACTCCCTAAATGGCAGTAAAAGCCAGAGCTGAGTTGATCCAAAGCCAGGAGCCAGGATCTTCTTCTGGGTCTCCCACATGGGTGTAGGGCCCCAAGACTTTGGGCCATCCCCTACTGCTTTCCCAGGCCATAAGCAGAGAGGTGGATGGGAAGTGGAGCAGTTGGAATGCACACTGGTGCCCATATGGGACCATGGCGCTTGCAAGGGGACAATTGGTCAGTTAAGCCATTGCGCCTGGACCACCTTCATCCAAAGTGCCCAGAGCAATAGCCTAGTGGCTAAATCTTCATTTTGCATCTTCCAGAATCCCATATGGGCGCTATTCTTATCCCAGTTGCTCCGTTTTCCATCTAGCTCCCTGCTTGTGGCCTGGGAAGGCATTGGAGGATAACCCAAAGCTTTAGGACCCACCACCCACATGGGAGACCCAGAAGAAGGTCCTGGCTCTTGGCTTCAGATTGGCTCAGCTCTTGCCATTGTGGCCATTTGTCAAATGAACTAGCAGATGCAAGGTCTTTCTGTCTATAAGTATGCCTTTCCAGTAAAAAGAAATAAAGAAATAAATCGTTTTAAAAAAATACCGAAAGAGCCTATTCGTGAGACTACACAATTATCAAAGGCATTGAATGATCCTTTGAATTGGAAAGTCAAATGGCTCATCATTTGCTTACTCATTCAGCTAGAGGATGTTTTATAGCATGATCCAACCATAATTTACAGTAGGAAGCTATTACCTGTCAAGATGATGGTTGGGCTGCGACAACTCTCCAGTGGCACATTCTCTGCCATTTCTCTTGCTACTCAAAGTCATGTAACTCACATGCTGATAGCAAAACCTCTAAAATATTGATAAAATTGTAAAAGGTAGGATATATGTCATTTTAATATCCCCAGAATAGCTACAATAAGTGGAATTTTTTTTTATAGTTCTTCTTCGGGAAATAGTTTCTTTCAAATGATATTAATTCAACAACATCTGTGAAGGCCACAGCAGCCGTCAGAAATATTTGAAAACATCACAGAAGTCTTCTCGTGAATTTGTCAAATTCCTGAACCCAATATTTCTTTGACATTTTTTTTTTCAGGGATCTCAGAAGCATCTTAAAAATTTAAAAGACTTTTGATGTGAATTTTGACCTGATTGATTCTAGTGAACAAAATGGATTTTCAGCAGTAGAAACTTTGATTAAAAAATAAAACTCCATGCCTCATGTTCTCAAAGTCCCATCACACTGACCCTGACAACATCCTACCTGCCCTTCATGCATCCTCTTTTTCATTTTATGAAAGATTGCTGCCACTTTTCAAAGGCACTTTGTATCTGTGACGTCTGGCGTCTAACCTTGATTCATTTTTCCAAGGTAGTTTTTGATTCCCACCAAGCCACAGAAACTGGCAGTGTTTGTGTCGCTTCATTCTCGATGATTCTCCTGTCACAGGTGAGGTATATTTTCTATCTCAAGGGCATCTGGGACCCTTTCTTACCCTTGCCAGCCTTTTTCAGCTGCTAAGGGAATATTTGCATCAACTTTTTTAATATTCTTATCTCTCAAACTATTTGTTCAGCTCTGTTTGACTTGGTTATTAAATTGGAAAATCAAAAACAGCTGAAATCAAAACCAGGAAGAATAGACAGTATTAGGCAATCATGTAATAAGTATCCCCCAGGGCCTTCCACTTCACCAATAGTGGAGTTACCCAATTTTGCTGGATATAAGGAATATGATACTGTCCTCTCACACTTATCATGATCAGAACACAGTCATTTTCCAAAAACAATTACCAGGGCCAGTGTTGTAGCATAGTAAGTAAAGCTGCTGCCTGCAACACTGGCATTCCATATGGGCGTCAGTTTGTGTTCTAACTGCTCCCCCCCCCCTTTTTTTTTAAAGATATATTTTATTTGATCTAGATCCCTGTTAATGGCCTGGGAAGAGCAGTGGAAAATGATCCAAGTCCTCGGACCCCTGCTACCTAAGTAGGAGACCCAAAGAAAGCTTCTGGCCTCTGACTTCCGCCTGGCCCAGTCCTGGCTACTAGGGCCGTGTTCAGTAGATGTTAGATCTCTGTCTCTGTGTTCAGTCATGCTCTTTTTGTAACTCCAACTTCCAAAGAAATCAATAAATCTTGAAAGAGAAAAACAATTATTCCCATGCCAAAAGCCTGGTAAATGTTGAAAATCTCCCATGAAATGAGCCAACTACTCCTGAAGTCCCAAGCTCTGTGGCGAACGAATGAATTTTCAGATCAAGCAACACGGGGACTGATGTGATTTCCCACATGGTTCTAAGAAAAGAGAGAGTGTGTGTTTGCTGTCAGGATTATTTTTACAAGGAAACGGGTTAAGAGACGGTAAGTGATCAAGCCAAGTCTTGAAGTTCATCAGGCTTCCTCTTGTATAATACAAATCTTGTGGTAGAGGATGTACAGGAAGCAGCAAGCACTCAAAACCAGCAAAGAACAAACTGGGAATCCATGACTCACATTCTGATTGCACTGTTGCAATTAAGGCTAAATAATCTCAGAGATCTTAGGGGCTTGGATTTGGCCAATAATCAACACAGGGTCCATGCTATGAAAGAACTGTCAGAGTCTATATTGCTCTCCATTATCTCACTCCTGCTAAACTAAGACATTGATTGGCTGGCCTTCAGGGTTTATGCACCTGCTATGAGTTGGATTACACAATGCATTATTTCTGATTTTTGATGTCCTAGCCCTGCGGGAGGCACAGTCCACTAGACAGGGTTATGTGAGTCACCTGTGGATCCAAGTGGCCCATCCTGGTTGGCCCCTGGCCTCACCCACATGTTCCCTTCAAAGATTCTGCAGTGGGTGCCGGCTGGCCCCTGCACCCCTGCAGTCACAACCCTGTGGCTTTGGCAAAGCTGGCATGGCTGCCCTGTGGCTAAACAGAGAGGAGCAATTGGGATAAAGGTGTGTTTGATGACCCCTTAAAGGAAGAGGAAGCACCACCAAAGGCAAATGGAATATTTTTCCCAGGGCCTTTGGTTGTTGGGGGAAAGGGGACTGTGGGGCTCATCTGGGTGCCCAGCAGGGCAAGGCTTGGTAGAATGATGCCCCCTCTGTTCTTCCTCTTCTTTAAATTTTGAGAGTTTCAGCCATCATGGCTGATCATGCTGACAATGGCAGTGAACCTCTACACTGTAACCCACAAAGGACTTGGTTTCCTTGCAAGAGCATCTTCAAACCTGAGGCCATTCAGATTAATCTGCAGGACACCAGGGACACAAGAGCTGCTGACCTTTTCAGCTGGTCCGTTGAGTCTTACTCGTTTCTTTCTAACCTGGCTTTAGAAGCAAATTTCTGTCCTGGCTGTCTCTTCTCATTGCTGCGGGAATGCGGAAAGCAAAGATCACTAGCACATCTCCTAGACACGTGAGAACCTTGGCACTTCTCTGCAGGCCTGAGATAGCTGGTAGCCTTTAAGGGCTCATGGAACACAGGTTGGCAGCTTAAAATAGATTTCTGTTATTCACGGTGCCAGCTCCCTGCACGTACACAGTTCCATCTGTTCAAATTCACGGAGGTCCACAGGCAACTCTGTGGCTCCAGATCTGGCCAATGTGAAAATCAAATGAGGATAGGAGACAAGTGACTGCAAGATTAGCTAGCATTAATGACTAAGAGGAAAAGGGGGAAAAAAAAGCATGCTGGACTGGCACTTAGTGACATGGTGAGCCATGAGTTCCTGCCAATCACACTGCAGGAAATGAACCAAAAATGAGCCAGATGACTGGTTAATCATTTTCCTTTCGTTGATTTGCATAGGCATTATCCAAAGCTAGAGGCTAGGGAAATTTGGCAGGCATTATTTCAACAGAGTCACTCAAGAGTCCTGTTTCCTTGGCCAGCACTTACTGTGTACCTTACCCTCAGGTGTGAGGGCAGGTGCTGCAAAATATTCATGAACTATAAAGTCAAAAGATGAGCTTGTTTCATTGCAAAAAAAAAAAAAAATTGAAATTGATGCCTATGAAGGGCCTTGAAACAGCTATGGAAATTGTGTATTGTGAAAAAATTCACTAAAATACTCTTTAATTGCACTTTTCCATGAGAGTTTTGAAGTGCCCTCATATATACACTAGGCTCTGATCTGCGGGCGGAGGGACAAGTATTGTCATTGAATGTCCTTGACCTCAAGGAGCTTACTGGCTGGTGGCCAAGAGAGCAATCAAATCATAATTCAAAAATATCAGAAGTCCTTTATCTAGAGCTGATATTTCATCATGTTTATAATTTTCTAATAGCCATGATAGCTGCTGCCGAGAGAGACTGTTGGTGTTTCAAGGATGTACTAAGGCGGATGGCCCCAGTCCTGGAGGGAGTATTGGTTCAGCCAAGTTCAGACGGCCAGGGTACAGCTATCTAGCCCAAGTCAGTGTGAGAGGAAGGCCTGTGTAGGGATGGCAAGGGAACAGGGCAGTTCTGGGAAGAATGAAGAAGCTCGCTGTGCTTGTCTCTCATCTCTGCTTCCTCCAGACCTGGTACAGACGGCTGTCACGTAAAGGAGGTCCACGAATGGGCAGAGTGCATCATCCTATTCCCGCCCACATCTGCTTCACACTCGGGCAAATTTTCCTGCACGTCTTCCTCTGCATTTTGATCTCCTCTGTAACCAAGCAGATGGCTGTAACCTTTCCTGCTTTAGGAACCAAATCTGTGTTTGGAGAGTCGTAAATATCACAGTTAAGCAAGTAAAAAATTTTCATGTTATCTTGCTTGGTTGCAAAACATCTGGCACCAGTTATGTGTCTTTGCTTCAGCAGGAAATTGAAACCTGCTTAGTCTTTATTATACTGATGATAAATATGTTACACATTGTAATTTTATATTGCCATTACTTTTATTTGGGGGGTAATAGAAATGACTGAGTCAGCCCCTTACTTTTTTGACATTCAGTAATTTTCTTTCGCAATAAAATCACACCTCCTTTGCTTTATGCTCCCTCAAAACCTGCCTACCTTCACTGCAAACATTTCAACATAGGTGGAAATGTTCCTTTGCAGCAACACATGTTGTCTCAGGGAAACAGCTAGTCTTATGTAGAGAACGTATTTCAGCTTCTAGCATCTGATGTGAAAGAGCAAGGGGACATGATTTTTTACTTAAGCCAGTAGAACCCCAGTCCATTTTTTCCTGTAAGTGATGTGTTACATTAGACAGAACTGAATTTGAGTCTGCTGGGAGCCAGCTGTGGACCTGTTACTTAAACTCTGTGGCTTCAGTTCTCCCATGAGGAATAATAATAATAATAAAGTTTTTATGAAACAGAAAAGATGCGAAGATGCTTAAGGAGACACTAGCTTCCTTGGTGCTGAGGCAACCACGGGCAGAATCTCCTAAGGAAGAGTGCCAGGATGGCAGGGCTGTGCCAAGGTGTGTGCTGCTGAATCACCAATGCTTGGCATAAGGGGAGGCCCACAATCAGGGCTTAGTAATTGGATATGTAAGGATTAAGAGCAACAAGGTCTTGGAGAATTTACTACTTTTCATGAACACAGAAGGGAGCCACAAAATGACCTTTCACCAACCCATGCATCAGAAGTGAATGGAAGCTTCAATGCTGCAAACCTGATTTGTAGGTATTGATTCATTGGCTGTATCTAGCCCATGACATCTCAGAGCTAATCTCGAGTATTTAACAAGTCAGAGGGGCAGACATTTCCTCTCGGCTCCCTGGTACCTAGCAGACCAATCTTACGACTTATACTTAGTCTGTTGCATGTTCTTGCCTGGGATGCTCAATCCCACCCAAAATGGCAATACTTTGGTTATAGGAGCCCAATGGTAGCCTGCATAGATGAGAGGAGTGGCTCTGGCAGGGACATTCTTACCAGACTATTTGCACAGTGCAAATAGTCTTGGCCCGTGCTCTTGGCCCCCTAACTCTTGTAGCTTGTCCTCTCTTCAGGAAAATCCCTAAGGTGCCTATTACTTCTATGGGTTGTCTACTGGCTTCCCATTAGATTTTCTTTCTACAGTCAACCAAGTTGGTTTCAATTTCAAGTCCTATTCCACTCATGCCGTTTGCCACCATGGTCAACCCATTAAACATTGTCTATAGGGATACAATTAAAGGTTGCTTTTGAATAGTTCTCAAAATCGGTTCTTCAAAATGGCCAACAGTTTTCTTTGTTCTTTATATCCTTAGCAGGTTCATAAAGTGTGTTCTCTGTTCTTCAATGAAGGGAAAGTCTGTTCCCTCTAATTACTCTGTTTCCTCATTTGTTTTTACCTTTTCTAGTCCCTAGAATTCATTTCTTGTTAGTCTACTATTTTTACTCTTACACCCTTTCCGGTTTAGGGTTGGTGAGGTTCAATAACCTTTGATCAGGCAGGAACTGAATACCAGATGTCACATCGGGGACAAAGATATAAAATGAACAAGACACAGTCAGCCCCTGTGTGAGTAGTTTCACAGTTCAGTAGGATGTAAAATAGTTACTGCCAAGATAGGTAACCCAAACCATCATGTTTATCAAAGCAAAGATGGAAACAGTAGGGGCATAGAAAGCACTGGGATTTGATTCTGTATGACACCTCTCTTGCAGAATGAATAAACATCTTTTGCAGGGCAGCAGCTTAGCTGTGTGTGTGTGTGTGTGTGTGTGTGTGTGAGAGAGAGAGAGAGAGAGAGAGAGAGAGAGAGAGAGAGAGAGAGAGAGATCCTACTTTAGAATACATGAGCAAGTGGAAAGACTCAGGAATGCTCAGCTAGTGTCAATGACAAGCTGGATGTTGAATGTAACACAGACTCACAGCTTCTTTGAACAGCATTTCTTTTCACTCATGTTCCTGCATTTCCAGGGAACCAGGGTGGCACATTTGTTACATTCTCACCACTGCCCATAATCCATCATTACAAAGAGGAGCCTTCCAAACAGCACTCAGGGGAAACATTATTTCCTCTCCGTTTCTCTCCCATAAAGAGCAACTAAGAATGGAGAAAGAATTGCATTTCGATTAAAGGAATACAAGGAAGGGAGAATCTGCTTCTTTCCTTTTTGAGATAATAAGCCTCAAAAGAATCTTGGATTTTTTTTTAAAGGCCATCACCCTAAGCTGTACATTAGTGTGAATACCTGGCAATAAAGCCAGAGGATTTTCAGTGAGTACTATTAAAGAGAAAGATGGCTGAGACAGGTTTCCTAAGGGAGGTTGGACTTGTGGTTAGCTAGCACTTAAAATTTGTGTTTCCTCCAATTGTATGGTTGACAGGAGAACCATTAACTTCTCAGACAAGACTGCAATGCTCAAAATTACAACTCAAAAACAAATGACCAAGAGTCCTAAAAAACCCAGCAGAACTAGTTTAAAATAATTCTGGCCTATACACAAGTAAGGGGAAAAGACAGAGAAAAAAAAAAACCTATGTTCTCCAATTAAGGTAGTTTTTTCGTTTGAAAAAAAAATTGCCTCTTCTCTATTGTTATCAAACAAAATTTTTATTGATCATATATTTCCATCAAATCACCCCGTGTGTAATTGCTATCCAATAATTACTTAGCCAATGCTTATTAGGAGCCCTGGCTTAATTTGTAATGTGACTGCCAAGATCAAGTGGAAAGCTTGAAATTTTTATATTTAAGCTCTTTAGGTTAGTCTAATTCTTCTTCTAACTAGGGATCTGAGTAGCTGCTAATTTAAGGAGTTCACAACACCCTCAGTCACATAGTTTCTAATAAACACTGGGTGAAGGTCCCTGCAGCTGCAGGTGCAGCTGTTGGGGGGGGGGGGTCTGAGTGCTCGTGGGGGTTCCTTTTATTTTTGCAAACTTTACGTGCCAGATTTGGAGCTTCCTTACAAACCTCTCACCAAATCAGAAGGGGCCTCTTCCCCAGCTGCAGACACAGGACTTCACTAATTTTTTTCCCCTAATTTTGTGACTTTCATCAAGTCGAGGACAGTTCTTCCCTTTGAGGGAGATGAGGGCTTTGCTGCATCACATTTTCCCTCTCTTCCTTTTTAAATGTGACTTGACAGCTTGAATACAAAAGGAGGCTAGGCCATTAGAAAGAGAGGAGACCACAGCCTGTGAGGCTGCTCTAATTAGAATCCTCCTGTTCCATGCCTGCTTCCAACAGCGGACAGGGGGCTTTTTAATTGGGGCTATTAAAAGTTCTTTTTTGCACAATGACACCCTCCCTGAAGTGAAGGCTCCCGGGAAAGAGCCCTGCCCACTCTGCAATTACTCCTTGCAGTTCTGAGGAATAATGGTATCTTGTCTCATTTTAAAGTGAATCTGAGGTTTCTTCCCCCTTGCCTTCTCTCCCCTGCCTACTCAGACGAATTGCTTCTTGCCAATTAAGCAAACTTTCCATTATTTAAAGAGGCAGTTTTGATCGCAACTGTCCCCTGATAATAAGACATATAAAGCAGGGGTGCATTTGCCTGTGGCTCTTTTATTCCACAGACAAGGCTCATTTGCATGAGCTTGGATCCTGAATCAGGAGTTTCCTCTGCGGTGAGATGGCACAGTTTTGGCATTCCCTGCTAGCATGCCCCAGGACTCACCTGAAATAACCCGTACATTCAGTACTCTCAGTTTCTCGGAATCTCTTTCCCTTAAGAGAACAGATGCAGGCTTGTATTTATGACCTGTTTCAAGAAAAGAAACTAAATATTTAGATGATAAATAAGCACATGCTTAACATATATTCCCCAAGTTGATTCCGAGGACGACCAAGGAGAATGGGCCTTTCATTCACAACGGGACCTGGGCCAGCAGGACACAGAGAGCTCTCGGTGGGAAGTTATTTTTCACTGTACAGGTTCCATTTCCAAACAAAGGCTTCTCCGCTGTCCAAATGCCATCATGCCACCTCCTCTAACAAATGGCACCAGCTCTTACATACATTATAAATACAGACATGGTATATAGGATATTTAATGTGTACTTAATATTTATTGTCCTAAGTGATGTGACATTTCTTATTACTTTATAGGCTTAGATTTGCAAGTCAAGGCTCTGAGAGCCACTAAATCTGTCACTTGGGTAGATACTCATAAGAATGTAATGTGACTCCTTGCTACTGCCCTTGTTCTAGACATTTTCCCCATCTTGTACCTACCTGTCCTTTCCAAACACATATTCATGGAAATGGACAAGAGAGTGCATGATTGTGTTCTATTTGAAAATAGCATTTACTTAAAACAAAACCATTTTTAAAGTTACACGAGAGGCTTAGTTCTGATATCTTCCATGCTATATAGCTGTGGAAAACACTCTAAGTCACAAGTTTTTGTTTTGTTTTTTCTTCTCTAAAATGACAATATACTTGTGCACCCTGAGTACCTAATAGAAACAGTTATTCTACAAATACACAGCATGGTTGAGATTACTAAGTCCTGCTCTAGTGTCTTGATTACTAAAGTGCCAGTGGCAATTTTGATATAAAACAGCTCCCAGAAATATCAGCCACAAATAGTCAACAGAATGACTGGCACCTTTTCTCAGAATGAGAGGCATTCACAGTTGTACCTGCCAACATGATGGGCACATCCTTGCCTCGTGAAGAACAGGAGAGCTTTGGGACCTAATACAAACACCACAGTGCTACTAGTCCTTATTGAAAACTAGCTGTACATGAGGGACTACATTGAACTTCTTAAGTAATCCCTTTCATTCACTCCTTCTCTCAATCTCGCATCATGATGGAAGGAGTTTCCTTGCTCTACAGAGAACAACTAGGTTTGGCTAAAATCAATAAATGCTCAGTAAGTGATAACTAGTAAGTGATACTACAAGAACCCTAAGTGCAGATGTCTTCAAAGTCTATTCTTTTACACACATTTTATACCATCTCTAAGGGACTATTTATAAACTGCCCACCAGGCCTACTATCCAGCCAGTGTGTATGTGGGCACTCACCGTACAGTCAGTATATGAATGGCTAGAGAGCAGTAGCACCATGCCAGTAGTCACAACCCATCCTCAAAGGCAGGTTACTTATCTTATGAGTTGCTAAATTTTAAAAAATATTTATTTTATTTTTATTGGAAAGTCAGATTCACAAAGAGAAGGAGAGACAGAGAGAAAGATCTTGAATCCTCTGGTTCATTCACTAAGTGGCCTCAATAGCTAGAGCTGAGCTGATCCAAAGCCAGGAGCCCAGAAGAGCCTCTTCTGAGTCTCCCATATGAGTGCAGGATCCCAAGGTTTTGGGCTGTCCTCCACCACTTTTCCAGGCCACAAGCAGAAAACTGGAAGGAAAGTGGAACAGCCAGGACATGAACCAGAGCCCATATGGGATCCGGCCCGTACAAGGCAACAATATCGCAGTGTCCTAACTTCCAACTAAACCTTTGACACTGGCCCATCCAGAATTTACTGATACCTCCACACTTATTCGTGATGGGCTCAGCTTGCTTTCCCTACTTGGAGCCATGTTGTTCAAGGTTTCTGGCTCTGACATTCTCTGTCAGCAACACTGGCTCTCCTGCTCTCTGCCTTCACTTTCACTAAGCCCTGGTTCAACCTCGAGCCCCCTGACTCCCTCCTAGTTACTCAGTCTTTCTCCCTCTCATATTCACTTGTCCCAGGAGGAAAACATTTCTTAATATTTCTTGAATGCTGGTGTTGTGCCTTAAATAAGCTTTTACTCCTTGGGTCACCTAAAATTGCCTCTGAAAGACAATAGGTGCATAATAATGGGGTGGGGGGAGAAACTCAGTCCATATGTAAAATTAAGAGTTCCTTGGCACTAAATGGATTATCCAAATGACAGACTTAGTGCTCATTACTTACTCTGCCACTTCTGTACTCGGTGGCCTTCCCGTATTTTGTGTGTAAGGAGGATGATCAAAGCCACAAAAACTAGCAGGACTAAAGCATACCAAATAATCTTCATGGAGCAAATGGTATCTGTAAAAAAAAAATTATGAAAGAGATAAAGTGAAACACGATGGTATAGCTGAGTTCCACATATCCTGCCTTGAACTGAAAAACTGCATGTAAACTGTCATGGTTACTAACTCTTCTGGCTTCTTTATTGTTGTATTAATCAGGGGAGCCAAAGAAACAAGCAGAACCAAGTGACTTCCAGGGATCTATATAGTTCCAAAATTCTGAATTCTCATATGTGTTATATGTACTTGTTTTATCATCATTGCTGTCACTAGGTTAAGAGACCATAACAGCAGAATTCTAGAAACAGAGCCATTTGCTGTTGACAAGTTTGGTTGTCAGTCAAGCAACCCAAAACTATGTCCTCAAATGCACAAAGATGAAGTGAGCACAAAGAGAATGGAGTAGAGCTGGACAGGCAAGCATTGACAAAGGGCTATACCGAGGAAAACAAATGGCCAGGGCAGGTGACTGCTCAGACTCTCTTTCCACAAAGTGATGGTCCAGTGGCTTTCATGCAAACAAGGAAAACATGCAGTTGCCCTAGCCTACGCTTAACAAGAATTCAAAAGTGAGCTGCTATGTTCAGATGACAGTGAGACAGCATAGGAAGGAAAGTCACCAATCAACAACAGCAAAGCATGGTCTCCCGTGGCCTCATAAAGACCTGCTAGCCAGTAGCAGACCTGGGAACGGCTGACTTCAACAAGGGAAACTTCAGCATTTTCAAGACACAATTTTGTCTGATTTTCTAAGCCACCCTGCAAACCCTTTTCCTTGCATATAAAACATAGCTAGTACTTACTCAGTTTAGCAGGGTGAATTAATACAGTTTATTTTTATGGTCATCCTTGGATGACTACCTGAGCTTTGTTGTCCAGGCATTCCTTTCACAGGGCTCCTGTTGCATGTTACTTAGATATTCAACACTGACTTAGTCTGGAAGCTTTTTCCATGATCAAACCATGGGAAAAGATCCATGCATTCATCAAACTTCAGTTGCAATAGCAGAGTGCACCTGCCTGGGACTAACAGCCAATGCATCCAACAAAACCCATCATAACATCCATGACACCACAGCCACTGATTCATAGCCACTGGCAAGAATCAGAACAAAACAAAACAAAACAAAACAACAGAAATCTGAAAAAAAAATCTAAAGGAACTGTTTAAATTGTTTTTTCAGAATAAATGTATCAGATTGTACTAAATTTAGTCCCTCCCCACCACCCATGAAGTAGGGCTTCTAAGGAAATCAGAGCCCAGTGAGATGACTTAATTGGCTAATCGTACCCTTGCAAGAAACAGAATCCTATTCTCTGCTTGTGGACTGGGAAAGCAGTAGAGGATGGCCCAAAGCCTTGGGACCTTGCGCCTGTATGGGAGACCTGGAAGAAGTTCTGGGTTCCTAGCTTCGGACTGGCCTAGCTCCAGCCATTGCAACCACTTGGGGAGTTAACCAGCAGATAGAAGATATTTCTGTCCCTCCTTTTCTCTGTAAATCTGCCTTTCCAATAAAAATAAATAAAATCTTTTAAAAAGAAAAAGATTAAAATGGACTTTGCACAGCAGAGCAAAATACAAATAAATCATTTTCTACACATTGAGAAAATGAAAAGTACTTTTGTTCCAGAATACGAGAGTATATATTTATTACTGTCAGCATTCTCATTGTGGACTCCCCAGAAAGCTGTTAGCTATCACTTCACTGTAAATCTATATGGATACTTTCCATGAACACAAAAATAAATTCTTTTAAAATCAAAATCATAGAATCATTTTTACTTTGCATTTTTGAAAAACATAAAAAGCAATGGATTCACCAATAGACACTGGAATAAAGAGAAGCATTTTAATATCTAGAATCCAAACCTCTTGATCTTCCAGACATCACTCTAGTTGTCTCTTCTAGGCCATCTTTCCAGAATCCACGGTCCCACGCTACTCCTGACCTGGCCAGAACTGATTCCATTTATCAGATCTGTCCAGCTTTTCTTCCCATTTCCCATTTCCTCCACACACACATAAACTTTGAAAAATTCTGAAGTCACAGAGTCCATGCAGCCCTCAGCAAACTCACTCAAAAAGGAGTTTTTTTTTTTTTGAAGTCATATTTTAACCTTGAAGACTGCAAAGACTTATTTGTGTTTGCTTTAAGGTAAACTTACCATTTCAAATGTAATTCTTCATAAAATAATGAAATCTTTAGGAAAGTGCTCTAAAACCATCTGAAAGGTTTCTGTGTCAAGAATACCCAAAGGCAGAGCATCTCTCTCCCTCTGCACCTATAGCATAGAACGTACTTGCATGTTTACATGTGGTACCTCCATGTTCTGTACAGTTTTATGGTCATCTAACTCTTTTTCCCCTGTGCCTGGAACACTGCCTGGTATATATAACAAGCACTCATTCAATGCAGTATTATGAAATGTCCCCCAGAGATGCTAATGGGCCTACTAGGGACAGGCTATTTAGTAGAAACAAGTGACTAGGAGGCCTAATCAGCCATAATGGAGATTATGATTTTTGGAAGGTTAATATTTCAGTCCCCACTTGTTCCTCCGAGTTATTGAATGACCCTGAATGCCCACTGGGTACTTCCCGCCATGTTTGTGGCATTAAATAAAAAAATCCCATTTCATCCAGGCCTGGTTCTCAATTTTGAGAAGGCAGGTTAAATTCATGCAAGCCAACATTGCAGTAGCACAGTATGCACAGGATATCCACATTTTAAAAGAAACCTATCTCTTGGTACACCCAGATGGCATGATATGACTTCAAGCAACAGCAACGAGCCTGACTAGAAGTTACTGAGCCAAGGGTTTTCTAGTGCCCTTCCAGTCACAAGCCACATTGGCCTTCTCTGTTTCAGATTTTGGCTTAGCCCTGTCAAATCATGTTTTGTGAGAAAAATGAACAGTTGAAAAAGCCAACACTCTTTTAGACGATATTATTTCATCAATAACATTCTGCAACTGCTTTCAGCTAAAGTACAGCTCTTACTTCATTTTGTGGATCTATAGTTGATTTGTCCTATTCCCTCCAATTTCTGTGAAAACTCACAATTTGTGTCCATTTCTAGGTACAAGGAAAGGTGTGTGCAATTATTCAGAGATTCCGTGATTCTGCAAGTGTGATTTACAGGCTTCTGCTCGGCTGGGTCTTGCTTGGCGGCTGTTGACCTTCTAGTGCGCATTTTCAGATTACAGGTAGTGTTCTTTTCCTCCCAGTATTCAACTGTGGGAGCCGCAGTAAAATTAAAATGTTGACAAGGGGAGTGAAAATCAGCATCTTTCATTTCCACTGATCCTGTCATGGTAAGAACTGAAAAGAAATTGTGGTATTTATGAATGGTGACACATAATTAGAAAATATATGCAATTTTAACTATACTTCCTTCTTCATTTGCATGAAAGTAGAAGCAAGTGGGCTGCACTAAGAATAATTACTCCAATGAGTGGCTATATTTTTCACAGTTTATGTAAACCAGCCCTCATTCATGACCTGACGTTCACTATTCAGAATAGCCCAAATAAGGTAGCAACCTGAGTACCCATTAGCAGTTGAATGGATAAAGAAAATGTGAACTGTACGCGTGCGCGCGCACACACACACACACACACACACACACACACACACACACACAAAGGAATATTCTTTACAGCAATTGTGACAACACAGTGGAACCTGGAGGACATTAGGGTGAGCGAAATGAGTCAGTCACAGAAAGACAAATACCCCAGGGTCCCACTTATCTGAGATATGTAAAGTAGTCAAAAGTAAGACTGTCAGAAACAGAGAGTAGAAGGTTGGGGGCAGGCCCTGGGGAGTGGGAAATGGAAAGTTGCCTTGAATGGATGTCGTTTCAGTTACATGAAATGAGTAAGTGGGAGAGTTCAGCCAGACAACTTTGCACCTGTAGGTACTATTGTAGTGTACGGTTGCAATATTGAAGAGGGTGGATCTCGTGTAACGTGTTCTTAAGTGTAATCCTAACAACAAGAGGACTCATAGAAAACTCCAGAGACTGCACAGACTCTCACCTGCCTCCTGCAGCCCCAGCTCAGTAGCTGTGTAACTCCAGCAGTGTGAACCCCCAGAGCCAGAAGTGTCCGGCTATGCCCTTTGTGAATTTCTGACTCACAAAGAAAAGAACCAGTAAAAATCAGCTTGTGGCTGATTTGTCATCACAGCCATAGACGCCGGGACAACTTGAAAATGCAGTTTGCACTTTTCAAGCAGGCTGAGGAGACCATTTGTGAGTCACCATTCCTTCAACCATTTCTTAGCTCTCTATCAACATAAAGACAAAAGCCCATTTTGCTTGTTAATGAATTCAATTCAGAATCCTTGGAATCATCACAGCACTGCTGGAGGAAAAACTTCATCTGAGTTGATGCTAGGGAACCTTGTTCCTTACAGTTAAAGAAAGGGGAAAAAACACCAATGGCTCCCGATGAGGAGACAATCCAATCTTGCTGAATACAGCAATAATGTTAATGTCTGGGCTTCAGGCCACCAGCAGATATTGTAGCAGTGAATGAATTATTTCATTTCTCAATGACACGATTTGATTCAATTAAACTAAGTAATATAAATGGATCTCATAATAAATGCAACTCCAGTTAAGCACTGTGGATACTATGTAGTGATCCTTTCATTTGTTCACCCAGCCGAGAAATACTTACTGAGTGCCTACTGAGTAATATGTGAGGTATCCTGTGCTAGAAGCTGGGAATGCAGGAGTGAGCCAAGACAAAGATCCAGCCCTCAGGGTGCTCATGGGTAAGACGATAAACGTCAGGTAGGAATAAGGACAAAGGCACTAAGGGTTCAATGACTCCACAGCAAACCCAGATTTGGTATTACTATGAAAGACTGGGGGTTGACCTAGCAGTTTTTAAATTAATTTTTAAGTTGACTCCTTTAATGAAGACATGCTAAAGAGCCTTTTAATGATCCAATATGTGTGAATCTCCATGCAATTCTGATGGTTTAATAGTCTGTTTTCATTAAAGCAAAATAAACCAGCATAACCAATAAATTTCCCGTCAAAAGAAACGCCACAGAGTGTTCCAGAGACAGTACCATTACTTTTAACAGAGCAAGCTAATCTATATTATGCTTTATTTTTACTTTCTGTTTACCTGTTGATGTTTCTTCCTGAGAAATAGAGCTCACGTTTCCTTTAGGTTCACAAACCAAACACAAAGAGCACATTTGGAATTTGCTTGTGATGTCTTGGCAAGTCCTCGTGACGTTTTCAAAATCGGAGTGGTTTAGAAAGACTTCCAGAATAATCTGAGCTTCTTTAACTGGTTTCAAAAAAGTCATGAAAGGCAAATTGAAGGAGGAGAGTGAATGGGTCAAATTGGGTTTTAAACAAAGTTTCAGACAGGTTAGCTCCAAAATTCTTCCTGTAAAAAAGAAAGAAAGAAATTCTTTACTGCAAAATGTTGAATATTGGGCATTCCAATAAATACAGGATAAGCTCCCAGCTTTCCTTAGGAAACAGTCCATTGTAGCTTATCAGTGAGAAACATTTCTTTGACTATAAATGAACAAAATCTAAGTAAGCATTTCACCATTCCCTGTTAATCTTCAGAGAGCAGATGTGCTTATAAAAGCAGTGTAGGAACCCTAGAACTTCACTGTTCTGTATTCTGGGAAAACTCTTATAACAAACGAACTTCTTCAAAATTCATCTGTTCCAAAATAGAGACTGAAGACAATTTCCTGGAGTTGAACAGCAGCTGGAAAATACAGGAGGTTTCTCTGTATTATTCTCCTAGAGCCTACATAAGAAAGTATCACAATATCAGTGGTTTGAAATAAGCGCATCCCCTTTCCACCCCGTCCCTGGAGGGCTGAAGTCTAGCCTCAGTGTCAAAAGATCTAAAGTCAGGTTGTTCCTCGTCTCCTGCTGCCTCTGAAGGCTCTTGGGAAAAGTCCATTTCTGGCCCTTCTTCCAATCTCTGGAGGCTGGGGACAGTCCTATGTCAGTGGCTGAGTCACTGTAATCTTTGTCTCCAGGTCGCACATTCTCTGTCACTCTGTTTTCTACTCTTCTGTCTGGGTCAAGTCTTCCCCTGTTTGCTTTCTTTCTCAATTTTTTAATTAATTTAAAGAAAACAGATTCCATGTGTTACATAGATACAATTCTAAGATGACAACCATACTTCCCTCCCTCTTCTCTCAATACCCCTTTCTTTCCATTCTTTCTTTCTTCCCATTTTATTATTGCAATAATTTAATTTCAGTTTTCTTTATACTGTCAGGCTTAATTTTCCAGTAACGATAAAGTTAAACAAGTAAACAGTAGAAAGACTAGAGTTCCATAGAATTCTAGGCAAGGGCTAAAAATAATAAAAGATGTCAGTTTCATTCTTATGCCATTTTTTTGATATTCTATATTAACTACTCCATATCAGAAAAAAACAAATTCTCGTCTTTTGGGACACTGGCTTGTTTTACTATACATAATAGTCTCCAACTGCATCCAGTTTGTTGCAAAAAACAGAATTTCATTCATTCATTTTCTTTTTATCCCCTTTCTCTCTCTTACAAGCACATTTGTGATAGAATTTTGGGCCCATCAGGATGATCTCCCCATCTCAATAATCTTAATAAATGTATCAAAGAGCTTTCCTTACAAATGACACTTATGGGTTCCAAGAATCAGCAACCATCATCTTTGATGGCAATTATTTAGCCTACCAACATCTTTAAAGATGAAACTGAATAAGATGATACCATAATTTAAATTTTTGTCTGACGGTAAACATCTCTTTGGGAAATGTAATCGAAGGACACTGAATTCAGAAATGAAAGACAAAGACTGTATATGTTGTGAGCCAGATGGTTGTAAAATATATTTAATTGCCATAAGCTGTGTTTGTCAACAACAAAATAGAGGTAACTTTGGATTGTGCAAAGCTCATGGAGTTACAGCAAGGTTAAGTAGCTTTTTATTACCTATGAAAATAATTTGGACTTTGGGATAAATATATGCATATTACTTAAAATGCAAACCCATTTCTCAAAATCAATTTTTAAATCCCTCATTTAGGACAGGATTAGCTGTGATTTAGTTCATATTAATAATCTCACTGTGTAACCCCAGGAATCCCCTTTTAGCTATCATGACCCAATAAGGTCTTTCTGAAATTCTCAGTCTCCAAGTCACCTGTTTGCATGAGGAAATAATGGCAGCATCAAAGTCATCTTTAAACAGCTTCTTTACCAGCTCTCAGATAACCAGAGGGGTTAAAATACATTCTTAAGATTTCTAAATAATACAGAAGTCAATGAAAAAAATTACTTCATTTTGTGTGGAATAATTATTTCTTTCATTTTCTAAAGATTTATTTATTTTTATTGCAAAGTTAGATATATTAGAGGAGGAGAGACAGAGAGAAAGATCTTCCATCTGATAATTCACTCCCCAAGTGACCGCAACAGCCAGAGCTGTGCCTATCCAATGCCAGGAGCTCTTCCGGGTCTGCCATGCATGTACAGGGTCCCAAGGCTTTGGGCCGCCCTCAACTGCCTTCCCAGGCCACATGCAGGGAGCTGTATGGGAAGCAGGGCCGCTGGGATTAAAACCAGCGCCCATATGGGATCCTGGTGCGTGCAAGGTGAGGACTTTAACTGCTAGGCTACCACGCTGGGCCCAGAATGACTATTTCGAGTCCTACATCTGGTTCAAACTTAAAAGAAAACCAAGCTAGTAATTTAGATCAATGCAATTTTTAAAATTTGTGGAGTCTGTTTAAGTAGTCATTTCATAAATGTTTGATCACCCATTTTTTTTTATTATTTAATAAATGAAAGTGCCACTCACTATCCCATTACATTTTAAATTATTTCTATAATAATTCACATTTAATTTCCAACCCTAACAGATGTCATACTCTAGTTAGTATAAAGAAATTTTGCAGGGGTGGGGGAAGGAAGAACATTTACTCAAATATATTTATTATTTGTTAATACGTTTGTAAGGAAAGTTGTAATCAAACGATAACTATAATAGAAGATAGTGTTTTCCGTAATAATGGCAAAGGAAGGAAATGAAAATATGCCATTGATGGATCTCTAGAAACTGCAGCTTTCCTAATATTACTAAAACACATGAAAAACTTACTTCTTGCCACCTTTCCATCTTCTTCCCTGGCACTTTCCATGTTACAAAATGTTCAACTTCTTGAATTTCTATTACTCTGATATCACCTAGAAGGGAGCTAGAGAAATTTTACTGTCAATATTGCAGCCTTCTTATGTAAGCAGAGAGCAAGAGGGCTTTCTAAAATGGATGATACCGCCTTGATATTTGGGGACGAGGTCATTTTTTGTTGGCTTTTAAATCTTAGCTTTAAATAATTCAATTGGAAAGGAAATGGAGGACATATCCTTCTCTGGTACAATTTCAAGAAATAAATAATTCTACTCAATCATTTTTTATTATTAGGTAGGCAATATTCTCATCTCCATAAACAAGGATTGGTGAATTTGACTACAGTCATTAATATTGCCAGGAGTTAGACGTCTGCCTTGTCACTCAGAGAGATGAAAATGTATTTCAGAATTAACTCCAGGGCTCTGCCTGCAGCCTCTCAGAGGAAATATACAGGATACTAACTAGTGCTAGGGAAAATAGATGACAGTACAGGAAGGCTGCATCCAGTCTATTTTCCTTCTTAACTCTTTAATAACCCTGTATCCCACATGAGTGATACAGAAGGTATAATGGCACTGAAATCATACAAAGTCAACAAATTCCCACGCACCTAGCAGCAGCCAGATAAGAAACAAGATATGACCAACATCTCTGGAGCTCTCCATCCCTTCTCACTCCTAAACCATCGCACGTCTTGTTTTGAGAAATGCCTATTTAGTTCTTTTGTTCATTTTTTAGTCAATATGAGTCCCTACTTATTAAGGTGAGTTTCTGAACATATTTAGGATAGCATCCCTCTTATGAGATAGATGATTTGGAAATGTCTTCTGCCCTTTCATAGGTTGTCTCTTTGTTGATTATTACCTCCACTGTATAGAAGCTTTTGGGTCTCATAAATCTATTTGTCTATTTTGCTTTTGCTGCCTGTGCTTTTGGGGTCACATCCAAAAAAATTGTTGCCAGAATATTTTTCCTACATTTTGTTCCCTTTTCTTCACATTTTCAGGTCTTACCATTCAAGCCTTAATCCATTTATGCTTGATAAGGCTCTCAATTCATTCTTCCATGTTTACTCACACTTTTTGATGCCACTTTGTATTCATCAAAACTAACTAAAGATTTATTTTATACTTTGTATTTCATAATTTCAATATCAGAAATCTCAAAAGATTTTCTTCTACCATTTTGTTGTTGTTGTTGTTGTTGTTTTTGCAGGGTCTACTTTATTGAGCGTACAATTGCTTTGTGGTATCTCTATTAGCATGTGTTCTTGGAATCATTGGGGATTATGGCAAGTTTAGCTTGAAAGCATTTGTCTTTGCTGGGAGTTGTATGGCACTATTAACCCAAAGCCACTTCAATTAACTTACTGGATTGGTCTTTTCACATCTCACGAGTAATGACCTTCCATATTTCAGTTATGGCCATCTCAATCTGCAGCTCGGTGATGACTCACTCTCTCATTAGAGACACGTGTGGAAACACATGTTTGCTCCTAGCCAGACAGGTTTCTTTTTTTTTTTTTTCCCCAGAGAACTGTTTCCTGCAAGATGTTATTCCTTAGTAACTCAGCATCAGGCTTCACCTTCTGTCCTCTCACAGGCCACAGGAGATTGATAGGCACGTCCCAAGAAAGCCATTGCGTTTTTCCTTTCTTATCCATCAGGAGTTACAGCTTCTAGTCAATTCCAATCTCAAGTCAATTTTCTTATTTCCTTAACAGCTCAACAATGTATTTTTAGAATCCTTAAGATATTTCCATCTCACATTTTTAAGGTATTTTGGGCCAGGGAGTACTTTTCTGATTGTAGTCACCGAAAACTTAAGTACTTATTGACCTTTAAAAGTAAGGGAGGACTTTAAAGAAGACCTTACTTGTTGGACAGATAATCAAAGCCGTGAAAACCAATCTAGGTCAGGTCATAGTTCCAAAAGCCCTAGGTTATTCCTCTACTAATGAGTTTTTGGGGAACTTTGTAAGACACATGGATTATTTAATCTAAGTTTAATTGTTTCAATGTATTAAATATAAACTGGAAAAAAATAAGAAATATCTTGACACTCAAAACATTGCTACAATCACCTCAGAGGAGCATTTTGCAGTGAATTATAAAATTAACATACACAGGGCCCAATGCAGAAACCTAGCGGCTAAAGTTTTCACCTTACACGTACTGGGATCCCATATGGGTGCCAGTTCTAATCCCAACAGTCCCACTTCCCACCCAGCTCCCTGCCTGT